CCTAGGATTAGGAATCTTGTAATCTCCTATTTAAGGAGACACCGTTATTGAATGAGGATATTGAATATTCAATTAAGAAGTGAGTTAGGAGAGTTGGTGATCTCTTGAACAAATCACCAAGGCGCCAAGATAGGTTCATCAAGAGCAGGAAGGAACAAGGGAAAACATGAGGTTTTCCTCGTGGACCGACCCGTGACGAGATCCTATTCTCGGGCCCTTAACATAAATGCAGCAAAATACTTAAATCTACGATGTATCTAGATCAATCAAGAACCATAAAAAAAAAAAGAAAAAAAAAAAAAACAGAAGAATGCAAGAAGAGATAGGATGCAGATAAACAAAAGAAACTTGCAAACAAATCAGCGGCACTTAAATATGATTATAGGTTTCTGACCATATTACATTTACATCAGCAAATGGATATAAAAAAGCTAAAACAGTGAATCTTGGTTAATGCTAAAAGGAAGCAAAAAGTCATTTATAAATTATTTTCTCAAAACAGCATCTCACTATAATATGGCATCTTTAGTTTTCAAAACCATGGAACGTAGGAAGGAATCAGAACACTTAACCTAGCATTTCCATGTAAAAAAACCATAATACACAAAGTACTCTGAATGCTTTAAATTCTAATTCAGACCACAAGAGGATAAGCGACGGACATAAAGCCCTCCACCAAACAAACGGTCCAATCTTTAAGATTAACAAGTTAATAGCTTATATTGTAAGACATTTAGACCCACCACGTCCACAGAGTTATCAATTTCACATAATTTCCAAACTTAAAAGCACTGAGAACTAATATGCCCTCAATAGAGAAACGCAGGATCTAAAATACAAGAAACTCACGAGTCTGAAACTGTGTTACCTTTCTGGATACTTGCGCCTTTCCCATCTCCAACCACTTATTCTTAATGGCCTGGGAACAACCTATTTTGTAAACTGAGGGGTCAACCTTTTTCTGCATCCGCATAAAGCAAACAATTCAATTCATAAGACTTACTCTAAACAAGCTATTAACTGAAAACAATTTGCTACTGGGTATTCAATAACCTGTAATTCTTCCCGAGAGATGCCTTCTGGCGGCACCGCCAAGAAGAGCTGCACCTCAGGTGAGCCTGCCACAGTATATGATTTCCCTTCATCTGTGAGAACCCACTTCTCTCTCTTGATGTCCTGCGCAAAATCAAAAACAACAAAGCAGTCGATCTCAGGGCGAGAACAACAGGAAATGAAAGGACACGGAACGATATTGGGAACCTCAGCATCGACAAGCCTGAAACCGTGGAGGCTCTTGATGACATTGACGATCTCGTTGTGATCGATTCCGATGTTAGATGCAAACTTCCCGGAATCAGCAATCTTTTCGTTCTTCTCCAAGAAACCCAATATGGCATCTTCAGCCATTTTCCTCCCAAGCTCGGTCGTCGTTCACTTCAGGTAGCCCTACTCTGGTTGGGGTAGGGTTTATCAAGCAAGTAAGGGCGGGGGTTCAGAACGAACCAAGTGCAGCCAACGTTTAGAAATTATAATCAAAACCCCGAAAAATCGTGAGTCGATGCGAATCGGGAGCGGGAGCGGGCTCACGCAATCGACCATGGGAACCGGTTTTTACTTGTTACAAACTTACAAAGGATCAATGAACCGGTATTGATCAGTATCGGACGGAGGGCACATATCGGCTAATTAAGGTTTCCCGTACTGCTGTACGAAGACAATTTGGAAACGAAAACAAGTTAGAATTTACACTTAAATCATTTGCACTGTCATGGTTTTGCATCAGTGCAAATGTATTTACATTGCAACCACACACAGCCTTAATGATAGGTTATTTCCAATTCAAAAAACAATAGCTCACATTAATTCCATTTTTGCTCGGTTAGTTTTGCAACAACATATAGATCATCCAGAGATACAAGGAAGAAAGAAAATTCTATTGAATGTAACACCGAATGTGGATTGTATTATTTGTACTGATGCAGGATCAAACTCTCGATCCCATTTCTCTTGTGTGGCTATTTGTTTAACCCTGGATCTATCTTGTTTTTGTGTTTGGGAGGTAGAACTTGTCTAGATTCTATTGAATAAGTTGAACTATATGCAATTTCTCAACGGCTAGAGAAAGCGCGACAGCCGGAGAAAAAGCATTTGCTAATATGTTCGGATTCAAAGAAAGTGGTGATGGCCATGAAGAACCAAGCCTTGCTAGTCACTACAATGTTCGTGCCTTGGGCTTCTGTCTACGACCAAGCGAAAGATGACCTCTTTCCACTTTCCACTTTGTTGATACGTGTTTTGGAAATAAACACTTAACTTTCCTACGCATGAGGCTGCGAATTTAGCTAAATTAATATCGCGAGATATCTTTTATTTTGATAATTATCCTAATGGGACACCAAATGTAAAGAACTACTTATCTATTTCTCCCTTATAATATAGTTTATTTTATCTCAGTGGTTTTGAACCGGATTTGGGTACTGAATAAATAAAAAATAAAGTTATCCCAAAAATGTTATTGCTACCAAAAAAAAATACAATGCATCATGTTTAAGCTCAGTTTGTATATTACAAATACATATAAAATAATACAAAATACAATATTTTGTACTCTACATATTTGTATTTGTACTCATTCCAAACTGAGCCTTATCGATAAGTCTATTTACCTATGTAAATGTTATTTTGTCATTAAATCATTTTTTTTAACTTTTTTTCTCAATCTCTTGTCCATGTTCTTTTTTCAGAGGCATTTTAGTAAAAAAAAAATGACCTCTTTCCCCTTAGATGAGGAGTTCATATATGCGCCCCACAGAGCAAGCCCCCACAACACATCCTGTATGTGTCTTGGGAACATCTCCCAATGACAAGTATAGGAGATGTTCCCAATGCACGTTGAGATGTGCATGTGGAACGCCTATGAAACGTCAAGGTTCAAAGTATCGATACRCCAATAGGGGCGTATCGGGTGAATCGATACTCTTTTTTTTCCGAAATAGGTTCAGGGGGGTCGGTTTAGGTCTCCTCCACACCCTAAGCCAATCAGACCCCCGGTACACCCACTCTAGGGGCATATTGGAGGGGTCCTAGAACAATACGTATTGGCCGATACGTGTCAATACTTTCATCCTTGTGAAAATGTTGATTTGATCTCTTGGATGAGGAGGTATTTTACCCACCAAGTTGGTCAATTTCCAGATAAGCATAGGTATAGTCAAGATGGTCAATTTTTGTCATCAACTAATTTCCACCCCAACTTGAACTTGGATTTGCTCTATACACCAACCCCATAACACATTTCAGCCATTCATTTGGAACATCTATTATACTTACATGTTGCTATTTGTGGTGAAATGTTTCCAATGCACAACTACAATGTACTATGGGATTAGTATGGGGAGCATTGTGTAGGGAGCAAATTCAGGTTCCCCCAACTTACCAATAAATGAATGATGCTAATAAGTGAATTTTATGCTTTATATCATGACTATGAAAAATATGGTTTTAAAAATGACTTTTTTGACACTTGAACACATGACTCTTGATCAAACATACAATATATCAAATCCAATTTTAATGGGCGCATGATATTTTTTATTTGCACAAGTGTACAATATACACTAACAAAACAATATGTAACTTGGTATAACTAGTATTACACTATTTCTCTACATTTGGGCTACACTTGGAAACAATGCAAATGGAGTGTAACTCCTGGTTCAAGGTAAATTTGCACTATGGTTCACTTTTGTTTGTAATTGGCAACACTACATATATGCATTGACAAATGACAAACCAATGCATGTTTACATTGATAACAACATGTAAAAGTACATAAAAAAAAAAGTAAATTTGCATTTAAGTGGGCTTTTGATTAAAAAAACATATGTTTTTTTGAAATTTATGTTTGCATCCATTGTAGCTAAAAGTCTGTTTGGTAAAAAGGTAAATTTGTTAGTGCAAAACTAATCCAACTTTACAATTTATATGAACCGTTTACACTATACATATTTGCACTTACACTTATTTGCATCGTTTCCAACTGCAGCCTTAATTACGTTGGTGCATGATTCGGGATGTTGCTTCAAAGGATGATACACATGCATCAATAAGATAATGGAAGACATATGATGTGCAATGAGGATAATGAAAGACTAGTTTAGATAGGTGGCTACACATCATTAATGAAGTGTAATATTTGATAATGCATGATTAGTGGAAAAAGAGACAATTTGTCTAAAGGATATGATAAGATTCATAATAAATTTAACCGCTCTAACAAAATTCCTTGATAAAAGGAACATTGGCATAGAGCATGTTAACTATTTTGAGGGATAATGTGTAAAGGTGAAAGGACGTTGAAAGGTTTAACGATTTGAGAGGTGTTGTGATTGTGCCAAATAAATYGCCATGTCARTAGTTCATCAAATGATATGATGATAGGGCAAGTTATATTGATTAGTAGACATTTAATGTGGCATGACAACTACATGTCAAATGGCAAAACAGCTACTTTGTGAGTGGCACACTGAAACATTATGAGATAGTAATAATAGTTAGCAGATGGGCCAATGACATTAATCTAGCAGTCCATAATGAGCCTAAAGGGCATGATGATATCCGATAAAAGTAGGCCTCAACATGCAAAAGGGTTTATAATTATACCCTCAACTAACAACATTAAAGGCAAAGAGATCAAAGAATCATTAAATATCTCTCCTTACCCATCACCTCTCATCATCCACTTGAAAACCCTGCTTCAATTCTTTCTCAAATTCGGTCCACGCTGATTATCCATATAGAAACTAGCTAAAACCATAACTTAATTATTTAGATTGGTTTGCATCTCATTCACGATAATGACATATATCACATTTCGCATCCAAACACTGACAAACTCTTAAAATCCATCAAAATTTGCATGAGTTAATAGTAAAGATACCTAATGCTTATAATGACATAAAAAGTAAATGATAATAATTAATAATGCTATTGTTCCACTACAATCAATCCATTTGTAGCCATGATAAATTTTAGAACTTACTTATCATATGAAAATTGAAGAAAATGAATGTTTATTTCTTATCTGTRGTATCTATTACCAACATCTAAACATTGATGTTATTTAAACCTTATGTAATGTTATAATAAYCATGCGAGTAATTGTTTATTACAACATTATTAAAAATACTTGTCATAACAAAACGGAAAAAAAAGTTTGAACCTAGCCGAGAAAGTAGGTTTGGATTGGAGTTCAAGTTAGGGTTACGATTGGTAAGTATGAACCCAACTTAACTTTAGGTTGGATTAGTGTTGAGGCCTTGACTGACCCGRCCCAACTCAAACTTGACTTAAACTTCGACTAAGTTTGGGAGATCTCATTTGAAAAACAAGTGCTTATGACCATTAAGTGAACACTTATTTTAAACATTGTTGGTATAGGTATTTTCGAAATGACACATCGGGTCAAGATAGGCCATAAATGAAATAAACACCAAAAAATAAGCTCAAAATTTTGGCTTATAGAGCACTTATTTCAACTTATTTTTTAATTGAAAATAAGTGTTTATTGGCATGGTCCTAATCAAATTAAATAAACATTTGCTTATGTATGTTTATAAAACAATGCATCCATGAATGTATACATGTGTGTATTTATTTATTTTTTTGTTGTAAGTATCTATGTATATTGTATGTAAAAAATTCAAGGCAACTTTTTTTTCTAAAATGATAACTATGTTCTTTTGCACATAATAATGCTAAAATTGAAATAATCTAAACCCTTGCATACAAAAAATAAAACATTTGGCAAGAGGACATAGTGAGATCTGACAAACTTAAGGTTGGGAATTCAACAACTTAGGTTAGGTTAGGGTTGATTTCAACCCAACCTTCCCCATACATAGGGTTTACCTATTTGTAAGTGATGGGCTAGGATAAATGACTTGGATAACTTTGTTCCCTGGTCATGGGATAAGTATTTAATTCTATAATGAGTCCAACCATGATGCTCAAAGAGCACAGTATATAAAATCACAATAAGTTCAGTAACAAAACATARCCCTATTTGTATTGTTACTCCTTCCAAATATATAAAACAAACTATTTCAATTAATATTGCATTATGACATTGAAACAATTCAATTACATATAGAACAAAAAATAATAAAAAAAACTTGGCAATTGAGGCCATGCTTGCTTCACTGCTTTGGGCCTCATTCTTTTAATTATTATTCATTATGGGTAAGAATGAATAACATTAGAGTGTTTGTTTACAAAATTCTTGCCATGGGCCACATTTTTTTTAGAATGAAAAATCAACCCATAGCACAAAAATTGAGGTAACCTGTGGCATGAAAAATAATCATGCCCCATCTTGCTCATTTTCATTATTTGAGGAAAATATGCCTATAAAACTGCTGCCATGGATATTTACTAGCAGACCACCGTGGAAATACTTTTACGAAAGCAATTTTATAGAAATACTTTTACACAAAAGCACTTCTATAAAAGGTATGAAAGCACTTCCACGAAAGTACTTATATAAAAGCAATTTTAGTAAAGCACTTCTAT